TACGGCACACCGAGAAAATTGTCCGCCTGAATCGCGATCAGCATCTCGAACACGCCTACTCACACTTCGATCACTGAAGAGACGATAAATTACCGCCGTCGACGCAAGTCTCTGGCAACCGATGATGTCCTTCCACAGAGAGTGCAGCAAGTCAGGCAGGATCAGCAGAGGTTGACGGAGTGAGCCGAGATGGGCCGAGATGGGCCGAGATGGGGCCGAGTTTGGCCGAGCTTGCCAAAGGCAGCCGGTGATGGCCTTCCAGAGGGCAGGTGGGTAGCCGCTCAGCGCCTCGGCGAGCGCGGGCTGGCTCAGGTCGTCCGCAAAAGAGAGGTTGAAGCCGGCCTGCGGCAATCCGCAGACGTCTCACCGCGTGATGCCTTGCGCAGCTCCGCCGCCAGATGTTGTCGCCTGTCGTACCGGCTCAAACCAACGCGCATTCCGCTCGTCCGTCGCGACGTACACCGGCACGCTCGGCGCAAAGCCTGCGCCTCGCAATCGCGCAGCGACGTCGGCCGCCTGCCCGTTGAAGACGGCGCCCCTACGACCTCGGCTGTCTCGGCTCAACCGCGGGTGGCAGGTCGCCACGTTGATGGAGCGCGGCGCGCCAGCTCTGGTAAGGCCTGTGCGTCGCCTTGTCTCCACGGCGGACGTGGATGGCGTTCCAGGCCGGACCGAGCCGCTGCTCCGCCATCGCCCGCGCGGCTGCCAAGAGCTCGCTCCGAAACCGAAGCGCCGGCCACAGCGCCGCCTGACGCGGCATGTTGGGGACGCGTCCCTGACGCGCCGCGTGGCATGCGTCGCCCGGCCAGACACCGCCACCTCGGCGTCGGCGCCCATCCGCCACCCCCACATGAGGCAGCAGCTGACGCGCAGCACGCGCGACGGCCGGCAACGCAGCAGCGACACAGCGCGGGCGGTCGCGCTCCATCGCGACATGTTGTGGTTGCACGACGGCGGTCGGACCGAAGACCAGCTGATCTAAAGGAGCAGGGTCGACTCGGTGGGAGCGGCGTTGTGCGGGTGGGTGAGGGAGGCGACGTGATCTCTCCACCACGCACCTCCACCTCCCCTTCCTTGACGGCAGAGCGGTTGAGCAGGTCATGCAGCATCGACGCGGAGCCGTGCCACGAGACAGCGGGCACCGCGCGGTTGAGCGCGCGCACGTCGATCAGCCGCGAGAAGGGCACCAGCTCAAGCCTACGCCCAAGGTTCCGCCGAGGTCCGCCGAGGCCCGCCGAGGCTGCGCGAGAAGGTGATCAGCTCCCGCCTCGTTTCAGCCACCTCACGATCGACGCCGTGTGGCGCAACCGGAGGCAGGATGAGAACACGGCCTACATGGGTGTGCGAGGTGGTCAAACGGCCTCTTCCAAGCTGCGTGCTTGGGAGTCCGGGACGCACCCAGCTGAGCGGCGACGTCCGCAGCCATGATGAGGTAGAAGAGCTGGTTTCCTATGTGCCAGCTCGGAGACATCTTAGGCTTTGTCTGGTCCGAGGCCGGGCGGAGAGGAAGAGCAGCTTTCCAAAGCCGCCAAAGGGCTCGTACCTAGAGGGAGGGCGCCTCGCAAGATTGCTCACTACGAGGTCTAGGGCGCTCAATCCCGTGAAACCCCTCCCCTCTGATCCTCACTAGCTGCTCCAGCGCGCCAGAGGAAGCGAGGGCTGGCCTCGAAATGCGGCTGCATCGCCAGCGCGTGCGGCCCATCGTCCGGAGATAGCCACATCCACGGCACCGGCTTGCGAGAGCGCTTGCGCATTCCAAATGCCGCGTCGACAAGTGACGCACGTGCTCGAGGTGCTGCGCCGGACGGGTTGGCAGCGACGAGAGCGGCTCGACCGCGGTCGCTCTCTGGAGCCCATGGCGACGCGGCGGCGGCGAGACTACAGGCGTGTGCCTTGCGCCGATGCGTGGTGCCAGCCATCGTGTGTCGTTTTGGCATACCTGGGTAGTGGTTGAACTTCCAAGTCGGGTTAGAGCGCGACCGTACAAGGTCCGAAGCGCACCATTTTCTTCTTATAGCTTTGTCTGCAGTGCGCCTCGCCTCCGCCACCACCGCCGCTCCCTCGCCAGACACGCCGCCGCCCACCCGCCTCCTCGACCTCCCCACGGACGGAGCTCTAGATAGACGGAGCTCCTCGAGCGCGAGAAAGAAATTCGCGGGCGCTCTCAACACTAGGATTGGCGCGCACTGGCACTAACAACAAAGAAAAAACAGAATAGACTTGACCCAGTTGGTACGCTCAATGCGCGCAGCCTGCTTGTTGATTGATGTTGGTGGCGTGCTGGCGTCGCCCGCCACTCACTCACTGTACTCTGTAGCCCTGCTGTACAGTGGGTTGCGGGCATTAAGAAAACAGGATTTTGCGGCACGCCGCCGTTTCTAAGGACTAAGCCTTTCCACAGCCCTCATCCACCCCACGCCGTGGTTTCTTAGCTCCGGCCGGCACTCAAGCCAGAGAGAGCCGGCCGGCCCGAAGGATTTTTAGGTAAGAGGTAAGCTGCGATCCGCGAGGGCGAACCGATGCCAGAGTCTGCCGCCGAGTCGGCTCTCTGGATGACGGGAAGACGCACACACACGCCTCCATCTACTCCACTCAGAACACCGCAGACTTGGAAAGTGACAAGTGCGCGCGCCGCAGGCCGGCAGGCGAAGAGAAATTTTGAGCTGGGGCTCCCATTCACATTCGTGTCCGGCCTTTTCTCGGGGCCGCGCCTGCGGCGCGCCGTGGTTTCTTAGATTTTTGCGGAAATCGCTCGGCGTGGTAGTATGCCCGCAACCCACTGAGCACTGTGTAGCCATGGACATCTGCTGCGTGTGGTGGACGACAAAGGAGGAGGCGCTCGCCGACGCCGCCTCCCCGCCACATACACAATCCGGTCCGTGTTAGGGCCCGCCACGTCTTTGCACTTTGGCGAACACGTGGAGGAACTGCTTAAATCTTAAAAGAAAGAAAGAAAACAGACAACCCAAGGGAGGGATGGGAGAACGGCACGCCGCCACCACACAGGGATTTTAAGGAGAGGAGAGTGATGCGCTAGCCGTCGCCCACCCTGGGGAGTCTGCCTCTTCGTATCTCTTTTCGCAGTCTCTCGCCGCTTCTCGCTGCAACCTTCATGCCACCTCGCGGCCGTCCCACTCTCGTCGTTCTCTCCCTTGTCACTTCCTCCTCTGTCGCGTCGTTCTCTTCTGCCTCGTCCTGCGGCGCCGCCGCCTGCCGGTCCCTTGTTCTCGCGGCTTCTTTCGCCTTTCGGCGCAACTCCGTCGGTGGGCGGCGGGCAGGCAAACTTTCTTTCTCGTCTTTCGGTGAGTGCGCGACGCGTTCGCGCAGGAGGCTGACCACATGGGTGTCCCATCCTTCTTCCGCTGGCTGGCCGAGCGGTATCCGCTCTCGCTCGAGCGGCTGCACCGGCCTTGCGGCTCGGAGGGCGAGGAGAGCCACGCAGGCGCCGGACCGATCGACAACCTGTACCTCGATCTCAACGGTGGCGGGCCGCGACGCTCGAGGCCTTGTGCTCCGCGGCCGCACTCACGGCCACCGCCCGCGCCCGTCCAGGAATCATCCACCCGTGCTTCCACCCGGAGCACGGCCCGCCGCCCGCCTCGGAGGACGAGGTCTTTCTCGCGATCCTCGCCTACATAGACCGACTGCTCGAGGTGGTGCGGCCGACCTCGCTGCTCTACCTCGCGGTCGATGGCCCCGCGCCGCGCGCGAAGATGAACCAGCAGCGCTCGCGCCGCTTCAAGTCGGCGGCCGAGGCGGTCGCGCGGGAGCAGCTGCGCCGCGAGGTGGAGCAGGAGTGGAGGGACGTCGGCAAGGAGCCGCCGCCGCGAGCGGACGGCGGGGAGGGCGGCGGCGGCGGGCTCAAGGACTCAAACATCATCACGCCCGGCACGCCCTTCATGGCGACCCTCGGCCGCTGGCTGCGCCACTACGCGTACGCTCGCATCAACGGCAAGCGCTTTGGCGGCGGCGAGGGGAGCGGCGGCGGCGAGGGAGGCGGCGTGGAGGGTGAGGGCGGCGAGGCCGGCGAGTGGACGATCGGCGGCGGCGGCGGGCTGACGATCGTCCTCTCGGACGCCTCGGTGCCGGGCGAGGGCGAGCACAAGATCTGCGCCTTCATCCGCTCGATGCGAGCCGCCGCGGCGGAGGCTGCTGCCGCCTCGAGGCTGCCCGCCGGCCCTGCGATCCACCACGCGATTCACGGCTCCGACGCCGACCTGATCATGCCTAGCTGATGGATCAACGTAGATGGTCCTTCGACTGCGAATTAGGCCTCGACGCCGACCTGATCATGCTCGCGCTCGCGACGCGCGAGCCCCGCCTCTCCGCCACGCGACGCCTCCCGGACGTGTCCGAGACCCGTCCCCGGACGCGTGTCCCGCAGGCGCGAGCCGCGCTTCTCCATCGTGCGCGAGGTGCAGCAGCGGGGCGGGCGCGGGCGGCGCCCCTCGGCGGGCGGTCCGTCCTTCGAGCTGCTGCGAGTGCACGTGCTTCGCGAGTACCTGACGAAGGAGCTCGGCGCAGGCTGCGACTGGAGCGGCGTGCGGCACGGCTTTCTGCCGCACCGCGCGATCGACGACTTTGTCTTTCTGTGCTTCTTCGTCGGCAACGACTTTCTGCCGCACATGCCCGCGCTCGAGATCCGGGACGGCGCGATCGACGCGATGATCGCCCTCTACAAGCACGCGATCTCGCGGCGCGAGCTCGACGGTTACATTACCGCCGACGGCGAGGTGTCGCTGCCTCGCGCAGAGGTGCTGGTCCGCGGCCTCGCCGAGTACGAGCGGCGCGTCTTCGAGTCGCGAGAGTGGCAGGCGGAGCGAGAGAGGCGGGCGGCGGATGAGCGGCGGGGCGTGCAGCGGCGGCAGCACCTCGAGGCGCTCGAGGGGGAGCGCAGCGAGGGCGTCTACCGCGGCCAGGCGGCCGTGCAGGCGGGCAGCGCGGCGACGGGCGGCCTCTCGCACGGCGCCGCGGGCGGCGGGCGGGCCGCACGCGTGCTGATGGCCAAAGGGGCGGCGATGGGCGGCGAGGCGGTCGCGGTCGGGGCCAAGCGGCCGCGCGGAGAGGAGCCGCCGCCCTCCGCGCCGCCGTCGCCGCCGGCAGACGATGCAGACGCGGAGGGCGGCGGCGACGGCGACGGCGGGCGGGGAGGGCGGCCGGCGGCGGCGGAGGCGGAGAGGTGGGCTGAGGAGGCGGAGGCGGAGGCGGGAGCGGAGGCGGGGGCGGAGGTGGGGGCGGAGGCGGCGGAGGAGGCGGCGGAGGAGGCAAACGGAGCACAGGTGGCGGCGGTGGCGGAGGCAGCGGCGACGGCGGCGGAGGCGGCGGCGGCGGCGGCGGCGGCGGCGGCGGCGGCGGCGGCGGAGGCGGCGGAGGCGGCGGAGGCGGCGGAGGCGGCGGAGGCGGCGGAGGCGGCGGCGGCGGCGGAGGCGGCGGAGGCGGCGGAGGCGGAGGAGGCGGAGGGTGCGGCGGGGGAGGGTGCGGCGGAGGCGCGTGACGTGGAGGCAGAGGTGCGTGCGAGGGTAGGCCGGTGGGAGAGGGGGGAGGCCTCTCCGTCCCGCGAGTGGGAGGAGGAGGGCGGCGAGGAGGAGGGTGCGGCGCCGCCGTCGCGCGGCGGCTTGCAACTCCCTCCTCGGCCCGAGAGGCAGCTCCCCTTTGTGTACGACCCGGCCAAGCTGCCTCCGCTGCCCGTGCTCGACGACCGCGGCGTCGCAAACTGCCCCGAGCAGCACCCCCCCTCCGCGTGGCAGCACCACCCCGCGGTCGGCGGCAGTGGTCCCCCTGACCGCCGCCTACCCGCGCCGAACCACCACCACCACCCGCCCCCGCCCCCGCCTCCGCCTCCTCCGCCCGAAAAGGAGCTGACGCCCGAGGAGCTGGCGGAGAGGGAGGCGGCGCAGCGGTGCGCGCGGCCTCCGAGGGGCAGACACGTCCGCAGACACGTCCCGCAGACACGCGTCCGCCGACACGTCCCGCAGGCGCGCGGCCTTCGAGGCCGAGTTCGACCGGCGCGCAAAGCAGCTCGGGGACGCGCCTCCCGAGGCGCGGGTCGACCACATCGGGTACGGCTCCGAGGGGTGGAAGCAGCGGTACTACACGCTCAAGCTGGGCGCCGCCAGCGCGGCCGAGCGCGCCGCCGTGTGCGAGGAGTACGTGCGCGGCCTCTGCTGGGTGCTCCGCTACTACTACCAGGGGGTGCCCAGCTGGGAGTGGTTCTACCCGTACCACTACGCGCCGCCCGCCTCGGACCTCGTCGGGATGGGCGGGCTCGAGCGGGTCAAGGAGCTCCTCTCCTATGAATTAATCACTTAATTAACTACTAATTAATAGGCGGGCTCGAGCGGGTCAAGAAGATCGTGCCGGGCGAGCCCTTCTCGCCGCTCGAGCAGCTCATGGCGGTGCTGCCGCCCCGCTCGGCGGCGCACGCCCTGCCCTCCGTCTACGCGCAGCTGATGGAGCCGGGCTCGCCGCTCGCCCACCTCTACCCGCTCGACTTTCGGCAGGACCTGAACGGCGCGCCCTCGCGGGGGGCGGAGGGCGGGCCCTAATGAGGCTGCCCGGGGCCGTTACACATGTATATGTCCCGTAGGCGCCGCCTCGTGGTGGAAGGCGGTCGCGCTGCTCCCCTTCATCGACCGGCGAGCGATGCGCGAGCAGCTCGAGCCGCGCCGCCGCAAGCTGAGCGCCGAGGCGGCGGCGAGGGACCGCTTCGGACACACGTACCTGTACGCGCCCGCGGGCACGCCCCTCGGCGACCAGATGGGCCGCCTCACCGAGCGCAGCCGCGGCATGGACGGCGCCGCCCTCTCGCGCGTGCAGGAGCGGGCCGAGCCCGAGGCGCAGCGCTGCGTCCCGCCGCTGCTGCTCACGCCATACGTCGCCGTCCCGCTCGGCGGCTCGCGCGCGCCGCCCTCGCCGCACCTGCCGCCCATCGCCGGCAACCGCGCCGCGTCATGCGTCGTGCGGCTGCCGCCGCTGCGGCTCCCGCTGCCGCCGGGCCCGTCGCCCGACCCGCGCGCCCCGCCGCCGCACCTCGGCCCGTATGACTGGCCGGTGCCGAGCCGCGAGACGAAGGTCTTCGAGGCGGCGCTGCAGGGGGGAGGGTGGAGGAGGGGGGAGGGCCGCGGGCCGGGGCGGTGAGGGAGAGAGGAGGGCGGGGGGCGGCGGCGGCGGCGTGCCGGAGAGCGCCCGCGAGGCGGGGGGAGACGAGATCAGAGAGAGCGCGCGGCTCCGCGGCGAGGGTCCGGCCTGCACTGTCGGAAAGGATTACGGCTCCTAAGAGTTGTTAACAACATTACAGCCATATTATAACCCGGCCATCACCCCCACCCGATCACCCTCATCCTGCAGCTGCTCCTGCGGCTTTCACCTCCCCGGCCCGCCTAGACGAGCTAGAGGTATAAGAGGAGAATATCGGAGAGCCGTTTATAGCGTTTTTCACAGATAGGTTGATAAGAAAAACAAGAAGCTCACATCAACGTTCATCGCAGACAGTGAGGGTGTGAGAGGCGGACCTAAGGAAGGTCCTACTTCACAGCCTTGTTATTGAGAAGAAAATACGTCTATGGCGCTGTGTGCGCTGGTCTGTGAGAGGTTGAGGTGCGAGCCCTGGAGGCCCTGGGGATGGGGGGATACTACCCGCGGGCCTAGAAGGCCCGCGCGCAGGGGTTGATGTTTTGCGCATCGCCACAGACGGCGGCGCGAGAGAGCTGTTGCGAGTGGTGCTGGGCGAAGCCCCGGGCGCTGCCGGAGGCTGTGCCGTAGTCGGTGCGGTCGACGGCGCTCGGGCTGCCGACCTCTTTGAAGTTGAAGATGATTCTCTTGGTTGGCGGCGCGATGCCGCCCTGGCTTTCGACGAGACATTTTGACGATTCCGGTCTTGACATGGAGCGCGTCGTAGTACTGTCCCTTGTGTGCTCTTTGACCCAGCCTTTGCCGGTCGCATGGACGAGCGGCGCGGGCCCTGTGACTTGTGGCCGCGCTCTTTGCACCCAAGAACCTTGAGGAAGGTTTGGTCGAGGGTGCCGCCGAAACCAAATTTGTGGGGCCCAGTGACGCACAGCATCCGCCGTGTGCCGCCGAGCCCTGCCCAGCCTGCCTGGTCTTTTGAGGGCGCTAGGCACCTTGACTTCGTAACAGTTTTTCGCGTCGCTGTACGCGCTGACTCCACTCCGTGTCCACAGCACAGTCACACACCTCACACAGTGTGTGCTATGTGTGGCGGATGCTGACGTCATCTGTTGTGCAACTAGTCCCCAGTCCTCCCGAACCCGATGCGCGATGCGCAGCAGAGCGAGAGAACAGAGATACACAGTCACAGATAGTAACCCCATATATTTAGTAACCCGCGTGCCGCGACCCGCGGGTGGTATAATTCTCGGCGTCTCGGCGGGGTGTCGCATACATGGACATCTCCACCCAACATCGGAAGATCCTTGGACTGTAGATCGTAGGTGCTTTTAGAGATCTCATAAGTGGCAAATCTCCTGCCAAGAGAAGCAGCAGATTGAAGAACTGGTGGAGGCAAATCTTCTTCGGTGTAGATGCTCGAGAGGAGTCCGAGATCTCGAGTTGGTGCGTGCAGTCGCTTGAGATCTTGCGACACAGAGGTGGAGATTCTGACTTCGCGCCAAAGGCGCCTAGAGATCGTGTGGGCCGACTGGAGATTGCAAAATGGCGCGAAAAGAGGGTGGAGATCCTTTTGCATTGTGAATGAATCCATAGCGCATCTCCTTGAAGGTTTGAGCCCCCCTCCTCCCCCGGGCACCCGAATCGAGATTGGAGATTGGAGATTGGAGATGGAGATCGGAGATCTGACTGGGATCCGGCCTAAGATGTAGCGACGCTGCTCGCTGGAGATTGGAGAGTACTGGAGAGATGGGGAGATCGGAGCCCCCCCAGCCCCTAGTGATGTCTCATAGTACATAGATGGCAGCGCGAACCACGATACCGCCCCCAGATCGGCGTAGACCGCGCGCGCAGCGCGCTCCGTGTTTGCAGACCGCCCTGGCGGACTCGTTTACACTTCCAAACTCAAGCCAGGCGCCGCAGGCCATAAAGAGGGGCGCAGATTAAACTGGCGCCGCAGGCTCCCCCGGGCCGTCCACAGAACCCTTTTTATAGAAACAAAACAAAAAACTCGATGCGAGACACCACTACGCACTAGGGGCTTGGGGGGGGGGGGGGGCTCCGATCTCCATCTCTCCAGTACTCTCCAATCTCCAGCGTCGCTACATCTTAGGCCGGATCCAGTCAGATCTCCGATCTCCATCTTCAATCTCGCCAATCTCCAACACGTCGTCCATCTTTAGGCCGGATTCGGTCAGATCTCCGATCTCCATCTCCAATCTCCAATCTCGATTCGGGGGGCCGGGGGAGGGGCGGGGGGGCTCGAACCTTCAAGGAGATGCGCTATGGATTCATTCACACTGACCATCTCTCGCACTCGTCTCCAATCTCCAAATCTTCTACTTGGCCACTGTCGCCGCCGGCAGCAATCTACGACCTCCCATTTTCAATCTTCGATCTCGAATCTGGGGCGGACGGCTGGGCGCTAGCGGCTAGGATCTACAATCTGCATTCTCCATCTCCGATCTCCAACATTTTGGCCCGTGTTGCTGCTCAGCGATCTGCAATCCACAATCTCAATCTTCGATCTTTAATCGAATCTTTAGGGTTTTGACTGGGGAACCGGACAGGGGAGGGATCTACTGGCGTGTGGCGAGACTTGGGCGTGTCCGTGTGAGAGATCCGCTAGGATCTCCAGTCTTAATCTACTATCTCTCTACCCCAACGCCCAACGATCTCCTGTTCTCTTTTGCGCAGAGAGAGATGTCTCTCCATTACTCGACTCCTCGGTGTCGTGACGGACTGACGTGTTCGTTTGAGCGGGATAGTGAGAGTTGAGTAGTAATCGTTGCACTACAAAGACACCCGCCCTCTCAGCACAGCCACACCCACGGCGTCCATGACTGCATGCCCCGAATCGAGCGCATCCGCGCAACCGACCGCAGCCCGGTGCGTCCACGCCCCGCGGCCACCCAAGCGCATCCAGATCGGACCCGGGTAGCGCCGGCTCAGAAGAGGCCGAACCAGCGAGTCTTCGGGGGCGCCACCTCATCGATGGCCGCAAGCTCCTCCTTGGTGCAGGCGGTGCTCTTGGCCTTGGCGTAGTCCTGCGAGGCGACGGGCGAGAGGTGAGCAGCGGTCGCTCTGGGGTCGGGGCGAGGGCGGCCGCGGCGCGCCTTGATCTCCATGTAGTACTTGAGGTGCTCGACGCGGTACGTCTCCATCGTGGACTTGAGCTCATCCTGCTCCTCCGAGCTCACGACCAGGCCGAGTGCGCTCTCGTAGTCGCCCTTCGCCGTGTGGTGCGAGAGCCACTCGAGGCGGCACTTCTCGTTGAAGCTGCTCTCCTCGGCGCCGACGCGCGCAAACTGCGCACACGGGTGCGCACGGGTGAGGGGCGAAAATGTCGGGGGGGGGGGGGGGGGGGTGGCGGCACCTCCTCGGTCGTGCACGCGAGCTCGCCGGCCTTGTCAAACTTGCACTCGGAGAGGTAGAAGTCGAACCACTCGAGGCGCGACGCCTCCTGCTGCGCCTCCTCGTGCTCGTCGCACTTTGCAATCTCCTCCTCGTTGAGGGCGTACTGCTTCGCAACGTGGAACTTGCCCTGCTTGCACATCTCGGCGACGTACGCCACGCGCTTCGCCTCGAACTTCTCGTCCACCCCCGCCTCCTCCTCTGGCGTGATGCACATGCCGACCGCCTTGCTGTAGTCGGACACCTCGATGTAGTAGGACAGCCAATCCTGCAACGGTGGGGGCGGAGGGGGGAGGCGGAGGGTGAGCGAGCGGGCGGGGCGGGGCGCGCGGGGAGGCGGCGGCGCGCCTGGCGGCTCTTCTCGGTGTGCGCCTCCTCGGCCTGCGCGACGTCGTCCTTCTCGTCGTCCGCCTCGGCGAGCTTGGCAGCCTTCTTGAAGTCGCCCGCCTCCTTGGCCGCCGCGATGTTGGCCTTGCGCTGCGCCGCCTGCTTTGCGTCCACGTCCGCGTACTCCGCCTCGGTGACGCAGAGGTCGCGCGCGTGCTTCCAGTCGCTCTCGGCGAGGTAGAAGGTCAGCCACTCGACGCGGCACTTCTCCGGGTACGCCTCCTCCGCCGCCTTGACCGCCGCCTCCTCCTCCTCGCTGATGGCGTAGACGTAGCAGTTCTTGAAGTCGCCAGTGTCCATCGAGTAGTTGAACCACTCCTTCCGGTCCGCCTCGCGCTTGGCGTCCAACTGCGCCAGCTCCGCCTCGCCCGACGCCAGCTTCTTCGCCTGCTCGTACTTGCCGGCGGCGAGCGCAGCCTCAAAGGTGGTGGCGCGCTCCGACTCGTGGTAGGCGGCCTCGGCCGCCTTGAGCGCGGCCGCCTCCCCGTCGCTCACGGTGTACTTGCCGGCCTCCTTGAACTCGCCGGCCTGCGTGTGGTAGTCGAGCCACACCTTGCGGGCCGCCTCCTCGCTCGCGTCGACCAGCTCGTGCTGCGCAGGCGTCTTGGCGAGCTTCTTGGCCTTGCCGTAGTTGCCGGCCTTGAGCTCCTTCTTGATCTTGAGGTCTTCGACAGCCGCGAGCTCCTCCTCGGTGACCGCGTAGTTGCCCGCGCTGTAGACATCCTCGCTGGCGAGGGAGTGGGCGAGCCACTCTCCGCGGTTCGCCTCCTGCGCGTCGTGCACGAGCGCGTAGTCCTTGTCGTCGACGCACATCTGGAGAGCTTCCTCGTACTCGCCCGCCTTGACGTGAAACTCGAGCCACTCGACGCGCGCCGCCTCCAGCTCCGCGTCGCCCGCCGCCGCGCACCCGGTCGCCGCCTCGGCCTCGAGCGCCTTGACGCGCGCCTCCTCCTCGTGTCCGACGTAGAGCTCCTTGGCCATCTGCAAGTCCTTATTCTCCATCGCGAAGTTGTACCACTCCTTGCGGTTCGCCTCGAGCTCCTCATCCGAGGCCGCGGAGCTCACCGGCGCCGGCTCGGGCGCCGGCGCCGGCGCGGCCTTGGTCTTGGACTTGCGCGGCGACTTCTTCTCCTTGCGCGGCGAGGCCGCGGGCGCGGCGGGCGCCTCCTCGGCGGGGATCGGCGACGCGGCGGGCGCCTCCGTGGCGTACTCGGCGGCGGCGGTCGTGGCGACGGCCTCCGGCTCGACGTCGCGCGACTTTGGGGCGAGGCTGCGGGCCGCCGGCGCCACCGCCTCGGGCGCGGGCGCCGGCTTTGGGGCGGTTGCCTTTGGCGTCTCGGCGCGCGGCGAGGTGAGGAAGGAGGCTCCGGAGGTGTACTTGAGCACCGAGGCGGACGACACGCCCTTCTGCGCGGCGTACGTGCCCGAGAAGGCGGCGTGCAGCTCCTCGCTGTGGTAGGCCTGGAGGTCGGCGGCGACGGCCGACTGAGCGGCCGCCGAGCACATCAGAGTCTTCCATGCCTCGGCGTCCGCCTCGAACTTGACGCAGATGCGCTTGCCCGGCAGCACGAGCACGAGGTCGGCGTCCGAGTCCTCGCCGGCGCAGGCCGAGATCTCGGTCACCTTGCGCAGGTCGAATTTGCCGGTGCGGTCGGCGAGCGTGTCCTTCTTGAAGTACGCGACGTTGAAGCCCTCGAGCTTGAAGTAGCGCCGCTCGGAGCGCTTGTTGAACTTGCTGCCGCGGTGCGTCTTAAGGCACCAGCCCTCCTTGGTCATCGTCATGGCTGCCATCGCCTTGGAACGCTGTGTGGGTGGCCTCTAAATGTGCGCGCTAAGGAGACGACGCTTCCACCTTCCGGAATTAGCGGCCGCCGGCGTGAATGAGCGTACCCCCCGAGTACACACACACACGTTTTAGGTATGTTGTTGGCAAATCAAGACACAGACCTCACACAGAATCACAGCGGGAGGAAAGCGGCGAGTCGCAATTCCAGGGGTCGTTGTGGCGGGCCACCCTGTCCAGAGAGGCATGGATGCCAATCTGGGGTCTCTCGACCGAGTCTGATTTCGCCTCGCCGCCTCCCGGTGGTAAGGCTGTAGAGCCAAAGCGGCGGAGATGGCGGGGGAGGGCGGGGGATCGAGGAAAGCACTACTCGCATCGACCCTTCACGAACCGAAAGGTTCGTGAAGGGTCGGTTGATCATTCACGCTCCCACAGTGGCGGGCACGCTCCTCCCCCCCCCACACATACTCACAAGAGAGAGAGAGACAGAGAGAGAGAGAGAGAGAGAGAGAGAGAGAGAGAGAGAGAGAGAGAGAGAGAGAGGAGGAGGAGGAGGAGGACGAAGAAGAAGAAGAAGAAGAGAGAGAGAGAGAGAGAGAGAGAGAGAGAGAGAGAGAGAGAGAGACAGAGAGAGGAGAGAGGAGGAAGAGAAGAAGGAGGATTACGAAAATAGAAAAACGAAGATCCGCACTTGTCCCAATCTCGATATGCTGCTTGTTGCGGCCGCATCATCGCTGCTCTCTTCCTCGCTTGTGCCGGGCGGCCGGCCGGTAGGCAGCACTGTCGTCGCGCGCTCCGCCCCGCCGATCGCCCAGTTCGGCACCGGCAATTTCGACCGGGCGCAGGCGCGCCGCGTGGAGGCGGCGAAGGTCAGCGATCCGACTGCGAAACCCGACTTTGGAGGCCTCGCGGTTTTGACGGCGAGCGCGGTCGTCATCCCGCTTGTGTTCCTGTCTGGCATCTACTCTGGTGGACCTGGCAAGAAGACTCCCTTCACCTTCACCGACAGCATCAGCCCGGCGGCCGTCGCGGAGCGCGAAGTCGTCGCAAAGAAGCGGGCCGCCTTTGAGGCGGAGCGAGCGGCGCAGCTGAAGAAGGAGGCGGAGAAGCGGGCGGCCGCGGAGAAGGCACAGGTGAAGGAGCTCGAGAAGGAGGCGAAGGTCGAGGCGACCGTCAAGGCGAAGGAGTCGAGGGGCGCTCCGGTGGCCGTCCCGGCGCCGGCGGAGAAGAAGAAGGCGGCGGCGCCGGCGCCGCCTCCGGCCGCCAAGGAGGACGTCAAGGCCAAGGAGGCGGCGAAGAAGGCCGAGGCCGAGGCGAAGGCCAAGGCTGAGAAGGAGAAGGAGGTCGCGGCGAAGGCCAAGGCGGAGAAGGAGGTGCCGCCCACTCTCGCCACCGCGCCAGCCTGCCGCCGCCGCCACCCTCGCCGCCCCCTCGCCGCCACCCTCGCCGCCACCCTCGCCGCCCTCGCCGCCGCCGCCGCCGCCGCCGCCGCCGCCGCCGCCGCCGCCGCCCTCAACAACCCGCACCCTCCCCACCAGCACCCACGCCAGCTTCCTCACCCGCCGCCACTCACGCTGCAGGCGGCGGAGGCCAAGGCGGCGGCGGAGGCCAAGGCGGCGGCCGAGAAGGCGGCGGCGGAGAAGGCGGCGGCGGGTGAGTCTTGACACGATGTGGGGCCTCCCCCTGAAGCTTCTCGCGACCCATTCTGTAGGCGGCGGCGGAGAAGGCGGCGGCGGAGAAGGCGGCGGCGGAGAAGGCGGCGGCGGAGAAGGTTGCGGCGGAGAAGAAGGCTGCGTCGGATGCGCTCGAGAGGAAGGCGGCCGAGGCGCGCGCCCGCGCGGCGGAGCTGGAGAAGTCGGCCCCGAAGAAGGTGTCCAAGAAGGCCAAGGCGGCGGAGCAGAGCGCCGCAAAGGCGCAGGCGGAGGCGGACGCAAAGGCGGCCGATTAGCCGCGATCAGCCGCGGGATCACCGCAGGCCTTGATCTGCGCTGTGTGAAGCCACACCCGCTCGCCAGCAGGCGGCCAAGGCCCAGGCGGCGGCGGATGCCAAGGCTGCGCGCGAGGCTGCTGCGAAGGAGCGCGCCGCCGCCAACGAGGCTCCTCTCCCCCTCCCCTCCGCTCTTCCTCTGCTTCTCCCTCCGTCACTCCCCCCCCCCCCTGTCCACCAGGCGGCCGCAAAGGAGCGCGCGGCTGCCAACGAGGCAGCTGCCAAGGAGCGCGCGGCTGCCAAGGAGAAGGCGGCGGAGGCGAGGGCGGCAGCGGAGAAGGAGAAAGCGGCCGCCGCCGCGCAGAAGGCGGCCGAGAAGCCCGCGCCAGCGCCCAAGGCCGAGAAGCCCGCGCCGGCGCCGAAGGCGGAGAAGCCCGCGCCGGCGCCCAAGGCGGAGAAGCCCGCGCCCGCGCCGGCTGCCGAGGCGCCCAAGCCTGCGGCTGCGCCGGTCGTGGCGCCGGCCGACGGCATGCTGTCCACAAACGAGGCCAACAACATCCTCGCGAACTACAAGGCCTCCAAGGCCAAGTGAGTGCACTGACAACTCCTCCGGCGACCAGACGCCACCCCACAGCCAGTACTGGCGCATGCGGCGCAAGCAGCCCCCCGCGTACTCCTCCGCACACGCGCGTCTCTACGCCTCTCGGCACCCGCCAGGGGTCCGGCCGACTCGCTGGCGGGCGCGAGACGGTGTTTGGACGTGCTTGCAAGGAAGGACCTCAGCTGCGATGCTCCCTCGGCCCCATCTCACATGGTCTGATGTGGCAAACAGAATCTCTTTCGTGATTGAGTGAAACAAAAATAACATTCAAAAAAAGGCACGTCCGAAGAAAATTTCTTTTATCAAAACCCCCGCCCCCCGGCACAACGCCACGCCGTCGCATCGGGTGTTCAGTCGTCGCCGTCGCCGTCGCCATCGACGTCGACGTCGACGACGTCGACGTCGACGACAGCACGACAGTACGAACGTGAGAGTCAATGCTCGCGCAGCCGCTCCTCCCCGCCGCCGCACCGCAGCGGTCCGCGTGGGTGGGCACGGTCCACCTCCTCTGGCGATCCGCGAGGCCGCGCTCTACCTCCGAGGTCCTCTCGGCCGCTGCGGTCCTCGTGCTCCTCGTCCTCTCCAAGCTGCTCAACCTCACGCTGCCGCTGGTGCTTCGCCTCGTCGTCAACGCGCTCTCGGCGCCCGCGGGCGGCCTCGCACAACGCCAAGGAAACAACCCGCATTTTGGGAACTCTCTCTCCCACCTCTCCCGACAAAGGCGCTCGCGCCGAGTAGGCACTCAGGCCTTCATCTCCGCCATCTCCTTGCAGGTCAGTTTGAGCACGGGCTCCACCTGCGCGTCCTCCATGAAGTCAACCACCAGCGTGGCGGCCCAGCACGGTGCCGGGGAGGGCTGGTGCTGCAGGGTGCGCGCGGCGGGTTTCTGTCGGTCTCCACAGAGCAGGGCGCAGCCGGAGGAGACCGGCCCAAGCGTGTAGCACGAGGCTCCTGCCGGGAGCTGCAGCTGCGCCGTCTCGTACGCCGGGTCCACCTTAGAGCTGCGCTCGTTCGAGAAGCAAACGGAGAAGTCGAGCTTGTGCCGCTCGCGACGGTCAAAGAGGACGGTGGTGACGGTGCGGCGCTGCCTGTAGTGCTTGTCGGCGTGGCGGCGGATGCTGCCGAGCGGCGGGTAGAGGCGGACGGCCTTGTGCAGGCGGTAGCCTGCGCGCCTGTCGAGCGCCTCGAGCAGCCGCTTCAGACGCTTCAGGGCAGCGGTGCCCGCCTTGCCGGCCGCGCGAGAGGTGATCGCCGCCTTCAACGCCTGGTGGTTGCAGGTCGTGTCCTCGTAGATGAAGGAGGACGGGTGCCCGCCCGCCGCGGTGAAGCCGAGACCGCGCGGCTCGAGAAGCGCCGTCAAGGCCAGCGAGCGAAAGAGCTCCGAGAGCAGCCGGCCCGGGAAGGCGGCGTCGAGCAAATTGTGAGGGAGCGTCTCAATCTCGCGTAACGCCGCGTCGTGGATGAGCACGCCGGGCGTGAGCTGCTGCAGGACGCGGCGGCGCCGGAGGACGTGCATGGATGATGGGGTTTGCGACGCCCTTTCGGCACCAACTATCGCCGCGAAATGAAAAAGCAATCTCGTTTCTCTTTTTCATTTCGTTTTGATTTTAAAAAAATCTTGCCGAGGTTGCCCTACCCCTCGGCGCGTCTGAATTCGGACGCCTGTGCTACCCTTCACACATGGCCGCCGTGCAGGGGGGCGGCTGGGCGCGGTGAGGCGGGAGCCACCGGCACCGCCCCCAGCGGGCCGGATGATTGGCATCGGGTTGCGGGCAAGAGAGCCCTAGCCCTGGGGGTGCGCGTTCGCAGGGCAAGGGCCGTAAAGTAAACACGAGTCTCCGACCTCCGAGGGTTGGCTCCGTGTACCGGGTTTCCCCTTAACTGCAGAACGCCCCCTCTACTCGGAGCTAGCAGAGACGACACTGTACACCACGCACGTACACAGGCTAAGATTGGTACGACCAATGCAGTCAGAGTACTAAGACGTCACTGACGCTGCTGCCGATATTCATGCAATATCAGGTTTCCAGTGTGACTACATCCTCGTCTGCGTGCGCTGGAGCAGTGGCACCGGGTCGGCGGCGTGGCGGCGCTACAGGCGCCAGCGCGAGAGACGGCCAGGGGAGGGGGTGGAGAGGCAGGCGGAGAGGTGCGCCGCCTACCTCGCCCGCCCGACGATGTGATGGAGGATACTTTCTACGCATTCAACACATGCTCTGCACAGCTGCCGGCGTGCTGCTGCTGCAGCGGGGAGAGCAGCCCCGCCCGCGATTCTTTTCTTTTTAAGCATTCTTTTCTTCTTCGTACACCTTTGGCGCCACGTCGGCAACGGGCGATTTAGCCGCACATGTTCCGCGTCCTGCTCCGCCGCGGCGTCAGTGCGCCCTTCGTTGCGTCCGCAGCGATGGCTGCCGTTTCGGAGAGGCCCTGCCGCAGCGAGGGGCCACACGGCACGTCCGATGCGGCCGGATCGCCCCCGAGGGCCAGCATCTGCGAGGGGCCACGCCGCCCCTCCTCCTCCGCCGGGGCGGCCACGGACACCTCTAACCCTCTGGCCAAGAAGCTGCGGGGCTGCCCGACGGTGGCGCCCGGGGCGCTGGACCCGGGGCAGGTGGAGGGGTACCGGGAGGTGGCAAGGCGCAAGGTGGAGAATCTGGAGGCATACGCTTCGCGAGTGTTCAGGCTGCGCGAGGGCACAGAGATGCTCCTCGAGCGACCGGCCGGCCCGCAGCTCGAGGGGCCGACCGGCTCGCTGCCGATTGTCCGCATCAGCGAAGAGGCACGGGCGACGGAGGAGGAGGTGGCGGGAATGATTGGGGTGGTCGCGTGCGAGAAGGGCGCCTTTGCGCAGGCCATCAACAAACGCAACAGCCGCGCCGTCGGTCTGAGCGACAGCGAGTCGTTCGCCGTGTGCTACCCTGACGGATCCATTGCTGCCCTCGTCCTGCGGGACAAGCTCTCGCCGGAGGGTGCGGCCGCCTGGAAGGAGTTTGAGGGCATCCACGATGCCATTGCGGTCCCCTGGGCGCTGGGCTGCGAGGCCGAGGCAAACACGGACCCGCAGCGCGTGCTCGCCTCCCTCAAGACACCCGAGGGAGCTGCCGGCCTTCGGATCGTGGGGGGCTTCCACGTGAGCTCGATCGGCGCGCGCAGCGGCAACACCGACAACAAGCTGATGGTTACGTACACCAACCGCGAGGGCAAGGAAATCGTGTTTGGCACCGGCGGGTGCCCGGTCGATCGGCACCGGTACTCCTCGACGGAGGTGGAGCACATCTACGATCGCCACCCTGCGGTTGCCGCGCTGTTGGGGGAGCTGCGCGAGCTCTATGCCGAGCACACCCTCCCCTTCATGAGGGCCAAGGGCTTCCCCGCAGAGGTGATCGACGGGCTCGACCCTCTCTCCGGCACGGAGCTCGCCTCGATCGTCTGCAACGAGCACATGAAGAGGATGGGCATCCACCACGACCCGTTGGCCCCTCTGCCGGCCGGGATCGCGGGGCCCACCGGGTGGGAGCTGCGCGAGGAGATTTGGCGGCGGCAGCACAAGGGGGGGCGCCTCTTCCTCGCCGACGGCCTGTTTTGCCTCGAGTACAGACCTCGCGATCTCGTGCTGCTGGACGGCCGCTTTGCACACGGCGTCAGCTCTCTCCGCGAGCTGGGCGGCCAGGAGTCGGTCCGGTACCGTCCAGAGCTCCGGCGCTTCTCGACCGTCCTCTTCTCGCGCTGGAAATCCGAGAAGGTCAAGTGCGAGAAGACCATCCGCAAGGCGGGGCTGTTTGCGACCTGGGACAAGAAGTGGTGGGACAGCGTGCCCTGGAAGGAGGGGAAGTGGCCGGCAGAGCAGGAGGGGGGGGGAGGCCCCCTGGGGCGGGGGCATCGCACGCGTGTGCAGGCGGTCCGCTACACGGACTCGGCCACGGAGGGACGGCAGGGCGGCTCGTAACACCAATTATCAGGTGCGCCTCAGTTGTTGCATGGCAGCCCGCAGCCTGTTTTGTGACTTTGTACAAAAACAGGGGAGGTGAATCGTACTCATACAATATTACAATCCTGATTCAACACAAACGTAGTCGAGAGAGCGTGTGAATGTGAACACAAGAGCGGGCTCTAGGAAGGGCGCAGGGTTCAGTCTTGGGTGCGTGCGGGATCCGCCGCAAGCGACAGGTCAGCGAGAGTTTAATGAAAAAGCCCATCTAGTTTCGTTCGTTCGTTTAAAATAATCTTACGGGCTGCCCCACACTCAACTGCAGACGACGCGGTACCGACGGGTGAGCGAAGCTCGAGCACGCGGAAAGTTGTATGCAATGGGAGGCAGGGATTCCCGCCATGCGGAGCGCCTGCGGGCCCGTCTCTGTACAGAGAAGCTGAAGCGCAGGCGCATTCGTCACGCTATCTGATGCCTTGACCTACCTACCTAGCTAATCAGCCCGCAATGTGGGGAAGGCAGTGGCGCCCCTGGAGATCATGCGAGGGCGTCCATGTACAGCCACTCTGGGTGGGGTGGCCGTGGTGTGAGAGCTCTCCGTGTGCTGTCTGTGTGTGAGCTGTGAGGCGTCGGACCGGCGCGACCGCAGGCAGATTTTGAGGGGTTTCTTGCCACAAGCGTGAAGCCGAAGGGTTTCTCAGGGTGGGGTGGTGCATTTTCCCAACCAAAGCTCCAAGTGCCCCAAAAACTTCCGAGAAACCCTTCGGGTCGCTCCTCATCGCAAACCCTGTCAGCAGAGTCCCCCGACGGGAATGTACGTAAGTGAACACACCAGTGAGGGAGGGCGAGACGATCGAGGGGTCCCGTACCATGCGGAATCGACCCTATCCAGTGCTCAAGTGCTCAAGAGCTACGTACACTGAAAAAGTGGGCATAGTGTTTAGGTATGTAGGTAGTGTGCGAACTAGTTTCGAATTCGATCTCACGCATGCTATCTCAACTGCACCCCGATCCCCAGCACTGCAGTGTTTCGTGCAAGTTCTCGGTTACTGGACCGTCACGTGTTCAACGACGTTGAACAGTGTTCAACCACGGCGCTGTTCACAGCGCGCGCGGACGGCCGTTCTGCGAGTCCAGCTCCGCTGGACTTTTGTAAAGCATGCTTGTGGCAAGTTATAGACGCTAGTATCGACCTCAGAGACCCAAACCCGAATTAATAATTAAGGCTCAAAGTATGGTTGAACAACCGTTGAACAAACAGGTTGAACAACGATATCCGACTAGTGCGACCGCTAGACGGCGGTCTCCGCCGGCCCCAAGGCTGCCCAGCCCCAGTACCAC